CGTATAATTAATATCAAGAGTCAGAATCCAAGAATAGGTTGAGAAAAGCTTTAATTCTTGCCAAAAAGAAAACTGATAAGAATGAAGGTGGAGTCAGAAGCATGTGGCAGTAGGAGATTACGTACACATACATGAATGAAAGATGAGGGTGAGCACACTGACTGGAAGCCAGAGTTGGGAGCAAGGAAACCAAATACTTGGGTCAGCACAGAGATGCCCTCAGAGGACAGGGAAACCAGGAAAGTAACTGAACTTTCAGATAAAGAAAACATGAGAGTGTTAGATATTTTTACTATGTTGTTCACTTAAAATGAGACACAAAACTCAGAAAATGAATTATATTTAATAACTCCAACTGATTTTATGTTAATTTGAAAGTTAATGAGATAATTCCTGTGAGGGATCCACTAAAACTCAGTGGCTATTTACTTCAATCACTAAAAAAATGCATAAAATTGTGGAAAATTGAACCAGTAGCTTTGGCTTTTTGTTTTGCTTTATTTTGTGAAAAGCTAAAGAGAAAGCTCCACGCTATTGAACTTTATCTTCTCAAGCAAAATAAAAGAATTTAAAAAGCAAATGAATGAAGTTCTTATGATTTCTTAGGTAATCTCTATGTCTCAGTATTTACCTTTCTAACCAATCACAGTCCTGTCACTTAATCTCATCATCCCTTATGGAAAGGCTAATAATACTTCACATGTACTCTCAGGAATATATGAATGATCTTGTCACAGTCACCTTACTTGTTAGCTACTCACCTCAAAATGCTGGTTGTGTCCACTGTCTTTCTCATTTTCTTTGCTATAAACAAAAGCAACAACACAAAACATCATAAAATGTCATTGTGTTTTATAACAATGCTTTTCATCCACTGAAATTATGATTTATTTTAAAAGTAGGCAGGGTAAATCAAATTCTTATAAAATCCAAAACCAAAAAGAAAATCCCAAAATTAATCAAAATAAAAGTAGAAATAAACATAAGTATGCTTATTTGCCTTTTATAGCACCATAATAGATATTCTAAGCATAATATTCTATTCTATTCTAAGCATACTGTTGATAAACATATAGTCCTTTAATTCTATTCCTTTTAGCTCTTTTAAATACACATTGCAGTAAGTTAAAAAAATCTATTAATGCTCTTATAAATAATGTGGGTAGAAAATTCTAAAATTACCTTTCATTGGACATCAGCTCATCATCATCATCAAGTCTAGCCCTCTCATGAGATGGAGTAGAATTAAGACTTTCCATATTCTGTAACAAAACAAACACAGTAAGAATGATAAGAACTATGCAACAGCAGACCCCCCCTTCTTTAAAAAAGAAAAATTAGATAATATGCAGATAAAACTAATTCTGGTCCTCGTATTTCTGTTTATTAAAACTAATAAACTCATGACAGTTCATTATTCACTGCTTGCATAACTAACTGTGTGTAAACTTTATCATTCCTTTAACGAAGATATCTGACAGCATGATAGAAATGGTCATTGTTCCCTATAATGTTAAGTATTAACCACATTTTAAAGCTAAACATAGCAAAACCCGGATTGCCAGAACATGAGGGTAGCATTAGAACTAGAATTGAGAAATCTGACCTTGAATATAACCAGAAATTGATGTAACATTCACTGCTTATTTGACAGATTTCAGTATATATTGCCAATATGATCTGGAATAGTATATACCTAAGCTGCACACTATCCATAAAAAGAAATGGATTTAAGAACCTTTCTTTTTACAATATTTAATGTTAATCTTTGTATTTGGTAAGACAGAAAAAAAAAAATAAACAGAAAATTTAGTTGAATGCCATGTATTTCCTACTGACCAAGAGGGCTTAATGCTTATCAGGAGGCATGTTTGTAAAGTTTTCTGACTGCCTCTGTAAATACAGCCAATGCTTTCTACATGCAATTCAGATGACTGAACACAGAATAAGTAAGGGATTCCCATGAAGGAAGATTACAAATAAGTAAACAAGTGCATATTTACACTCAGTAGATTCAAAAACATAGCTGCTTTAAAGATCTGGACCTGAATCTCACTGAATTCAAAGATTCAAATATACATTAAAAGGACATTAAGCACAATCCACCTGGCCTGGGACATCAAAATAAAGAACACATACTGTAGCAAAATGTATTCATCTACATATTTATAACCTCCCATTATGAAAAACCCTTTACAAAGTAAGTCTGACTGAGGTTCACAATAATCCCAAGAAACTGACATACATAAAAATCTCTAAAAAATAAACATATAATTAGAGTAGAAAATAAATCTTTGGCTTGGTGGGTGATGAATTATTTTCCATTTATGTTCGTTTCTTTAACTTATCTAGAATTCTTAAAGTTTAAAATGCTAGGCTCCATCAAAGAGTAGAAACAAAGGGAGACAGAATATCATTATAATTTCATAATTATAATAATTACATTGTTATTATAATGGTGGCCTCCAGTGGTGGCTCTGGAGTCAGAATGTTTGGGTTGAATTCTAGCTTCATCATTTACCAATTGTATGACCCTACTTGACCACAATTTCCTTATCTGAAAAGTGGAGATAGCAACAATACTTATCATAGTGTGGTCATGAAGATTAAATATGAGAATACATGTAAAGTACTAGAATACTACCTGGTACATTTAATGAATATTAGTTGTTGTTGATGTTATTATTTCTAAAATTATGAAATCCCCAAGTTAACTATTTTACAACTATCTGTCCACAGTTAAGACAATGTCCCAGGAACTGGAAAGGCAGTGTTTGTGTCTGCCATTACTGAACACTGATTTGCATGCTTAGATAATCTGCACAGTTAGATAATTTTAGAATAAATCTGAGAAATAAAAATATTATGACAACAATTATATTCAGTTTTATACCTGTAAGGTTTGAGTTAGAAGAGGCCTCTTTAAAATGGCTCTCATTAAACCAAAGCAGAATCGCTCTTATTACCTCAATGTGATTTTCTTGAAAAAAAAAAAAAAACAAAAAAAAACAGATCAATCTAAGACAAAGAACCTTTGTCCTCATTGGTAATCTTCAATGGATTATCAAAATCTTCAGTGTAAGATCTAGTGCAGTAATATGAGGTTTTCCTAAAGTTGTGAAACATGAATTCTTAGGAAAAGCACAATCTTTTACCTTCGAATCATTTTAAAACAGCATCAACGAAATACATTTATAATTATATGCAAATTACTATTTCAAAAGACATAAAAAAATCTTCAAATTAAGGCTAAGAAACATTCAGAAAGAGAAGAGAAAATAAACTATAATAGCATCCCATAAATTTAAAGATATTTCAGCCAGAAGATGTTAGATGACTGATTTTTCCCTTAAACAGAAGAAACCAGGATATAATTAATATAGGTTTTGAGAATTACAGAAAAAGATAGTTATGGTATACAATAGAAGGCTTTGCAAAAAGCAGTTGTAAAATGTGAGAAAGTTTAGCTAATCTCAAGGGTTAAAACAATTAAGTAGTAACTTCTGCCACTCCCTCCCCCAATCCGCCTTTAAAAAAATGTTTGATCCACATGTTTAAGAACTCTCCAAGGAACTGAGTTTTTATAGATGCAACTGACAAAGGGTGACTTTCAATATTTTTCACTATTTCTCTCTAAAGCTTTATAATAATTCCAATTTTTCACGTTGTCCGTACACTTGAGACTGTTGAATATTTATGGTCTGCTTTCACTAATGCAGCATGCAAGTACACAGGGTCCTTTGCTAAGGCAGTCAAGTTGCCCTACACCTTCTGGAAACAGGAACATGAGAAGAATGTGTTACAATTGGCAACCTACCCTCATTTTTTCAGAAGGAGACAAACAAGGGTAGTAAAGATCTAGGAGTACAGTAACTAATGTACTTATTTTCACAGGTGTGAAACATTTTATAAATTATAACTTCTACCCTTTGCCTAAGGTTTAGGGAGGGAAGATTAAAATAAATAGATCAGCAATTCTCTCACTTCACTGAGATGGGCGAAGGGGAAAATGGAATGTAAGGTCAAAATAATGGCTATTTATGGAATGTAAGGTCAAAATAACGGCTATTTAATATCAAATGCTTTCATTATATAAGAATTATGCTACTGAACTTTCGAATGTTTTGTAGTTGTTAAGAATACTTGTCTTTTGAGAAAATACTGGCTCAATGCCTTTTGAAGGTTTTCAATTGTTTTATAACCAAATCATTTCTCTAGGTATGGTAAGAGTAGTTCATTAATGTTTTCATTAATTAAAGGTTGATGTAATAGAATTATTATAAAAATGTTTTACTGCATTAACTTTTAATTAGTCTTCTAAAGTTAGAATCTTTAAAACAGGTAATTTTAAGAAATAGCAAAGAACAGATTATGACTTTAAATATAATGTAATGAAATTGCTTCTTGAATAACATTAAAAAACAGATAAAGCCTGTTTATAACTCATAAAATTCTGAATCATATAAATCCTACCAGTGACTTTCAAAACACACAGATTTGTGATATAATTTATTTGGACAATTTTGGGGTATCAGAAGGAACCGAATTTTAAGAACCACCTTCCTCAATTATAAAACTTCAAATCTAAAAAAAAAAAACAAAAAAACCTTGAAAAATTAGCTTTAGACTGTGGAATTTATTTTAAATTCTTTCCCTGGGCCCCCTCTCTGTTTTGGCATTGAAAGCTAGGCTCAAAACCTGTTTGACTACTGAAGCACTTGAAAATACTTGGAGTGAAAACAAATTCGTCTTCTAAAAGTATAAAATGCTGACAAAGCCTTTATAGAGGACGCCAAAAAAAAAAATAAAAAAAGCCTCCTCTCAATATACAAATAGCTAAGTCTGAAGGCTACATGAAATGCTGATAGTCAAAACAGGCTCATTATTCTAACCTTGAGCTCTAAGGAGAGGAGACTATTTGATATATTCTCATTAACAAACGACTAATGGCAGATTTGAATTTTTTGTACCCTTTTGGAAATTTTATGTTTTACTGCTTAAAACTGTATAAATTGATCCATAGTCAAAAGAACTACTGGTACTGTAAGAGGATGTCTATGGAAGAGCTTGCTAGCTGTCCACCCAAATTCATTCTATTTTCCTTCCACAGCAATGAAGCACCCACATGCCCAGCAATAATGCATTTCCTGGCTCCTCTTGCAATGAGATATAGACATGTGACTAACTTCTCTCCAACAAGATGTGAGAAGTGTTATGTGTGGCTTGGTCAATAAACTGCCACACCAGGTACATTCCTCAACAGTTTATTCTCTTTTAGTGAGCTGGAATGGAGAAGAAAACCCCCCGAGTACCCTGGACGCTACTTGCTGAAGATGACAAAGAGACAACTGGCCTGGATCCCTGAAAAATTGTGTGGAGCAAGTCCTCTCTGCTCCTCTCCCTAGCCCCACATGCCTGCTTTACAGTGTCATGGGAGAAAGAACTTTTACTGTGCTCAGGACATTGTATTTTGGGTCTTTTTGTTACACAAGTTATCCTGAACAATATGGCAACCATTCATTCACTCTTCCCCCACCCACTCCAACATATTTTTATAGAGTGCCGAACTATAATGGGCATGGGGGTACAATGATGAATGGTAAACCAGACAGACATCTGTTTTTGCTGTCATGACTTTTGTTTCTGCTCCAACTGTAGTTTGTTACACTGTTTATATTACATTCATTTCTATCTGAATACTAATGTTAAACATTATTTGACAAAACATAAAATTCAAGGTCAGCACACTCATTCCTTACTCAATAGTATGCAAAGGAAATGAATCCTAGACGTATGTATGAACATAGTGAGATTCAAAACCTAAAATTGTATTTATTAACTTTTCTTAGATGAAAGGTAGGTTGTTAGAACATAAGGACAGACCTTTGGTGTTACACAAAGGAGGCAACGAGACAAAACTGTTTTAAGTTTCTAATGAAATGGTCTTTGAATCAAGGTAATTTACAACCAAACTCCTCCTCTGGGTGACAGGGTCCCATCCCCTGCCAATTACTCAAGAACAATGATCCTTCAATGGATCCCTTTCTCTTACATCATTTCCCCCTCTACGGCTTAATTTATACCAATACTCTGTATTATCACCACCTTTTAAATAACTTCCCTTAATCTTGCATTGTCTCCAGCCACTACCTCATTTTTCTTTACTCCCATAGATCAAAATCTGTTCAAAGATTTTCCATAATTGTAGTATCCAAATCATTTCCTCCTATACTCTCTTGAACCTACCTAACTAGGCTTTTCC